GGTTTGAGTGAGTTTGGTGTTTGTCCGTACACTCGGAGGAAGAAGAAGAAATAAGGAAGGGAGCTCGGGGGGGGGGGGGGAGAGAGAGAATGTCAGAGGGAGAGGGAGAGAAAGTCAGTGTGGATGTGTGTGTGTGGCCCAACACATGTCCACACCACACAAAACACCAAAAACATAACAAGACAAACTAGGGGTAAAACGGTCAAATCACATGTACGTTTCGATATTTCCGGGACGGGATGTCACAGTTGTAGTTTTAGAAATAATATAGGTTATTTTGGAGTAGTTCCAGAAATTGGATGGATTATTTTGCTTCTAGAAATAGGGAGGATTAATTTGACTCAGTTTTAAAAATAATGTGAATTATTTTGGTTTAATTTTTAAAAGTTCTATAAATAATACAAGATTACTCCACCAAAAAACAAAAAAGAATATGTAATCACACTTTTAGACTTATGTTAAACAAATACTTTATAAAGATTCACTTTTAATTTTAACATTTGACAACAAAAAAAAAATATTTAGTTTGTTTTATTTGTTTTTTAATTTTAAGTTGGCGCAAAGTCACAAGAACCCTACTTGAAAAGATGACTTCAAATTCCAGTAGCAGTGTCTTTGACAGCATGATAACGACGATGACCATGAAATATGACATTTTGGGCTCTCATGCTCTCTCCCTCTCTCTCTCTCTGTATCAAAATCTAAGTAAAATGCATTTCATACATTCGTTAGTTATCAATTTGATCATTAAGTGATGATGTGATAAATATAAAACTTACATATATTTATGATGAGGTAAAAAAATTAATTAAATATTAAAAAACCATTTTAAAAACAAAACTAAATTAAAAGTTATAAGGGACCCACCCACCTACCTTCTTCTCCAAGGAGAGAGATGGCGTCCATCAAACTTTCATTGCAATTTCAAAAATTGCAGCGGGCAGCGAGGTTTCTATCTCATCTTTTCTCGGTCTCTCTCTGCGGGGAGTGCATCCTCTATCTCATCTTCTCTCGATCTCTCTCTCCGCGGGAAGCACATCCTCTATCTCCTCTATCTCATCTTCTCTCGATCTCTCTCTCCGCTGGGAGCGCGGCTTCAATTCCACCATGCGTAACCATGAAATGTAAAGCTTAACAAAAAAAACAACTTTTGTCATTTTTATATGAATGGAGGAAATGCAGCAGAGGTAGGAGGAGGGAGGGACTAAGGAGTCGAGTATTGAGTCATCAAGTTGCTTAGATGTTTATTATAATTCTTTTTTTTTGTAAATTGGTAGATTAGACAAGGGCATAATTGTAATTCTAAGAGTAGTATTTTGCTCATGTATATACTGAAGCACCATTGTAATTTTATCAACATTGAATGAAATGACGGAAGTATATTCGGAAACTGTGTATTCTTAGATTCTACAGGGACAACGTGTTGTGTTGTTGTCAGGGGCAAAAATAGAAACTCAAATTTTGGATTATTTTAATTGGATTGATTTAGAATTGGGCTTTATCCTAATCATTAAATAAAGTTAGTGCATGACTTTTGGTTAAAATTCGAAGTTTTGAAACTCTTTTTATTAATTTTTTTTTAAATTTATTGGAGTAACGTTTTGATGCATTGTTTTGTGTTAATTACTTCAATAATTCATCAAGAAAGTGATTAGGTCAGCCAGCAATTATAGGCAATGATACAACAAGGGACAAAAGCAAAATTATGGGCATCAATCATGAAACGGATAGGTTCAAGTAAAGAATATGAGTAATTGAGAGAAGGGAGAATGGAGTTGGGAGGAAGCTAGCTCTATATTCCATGACGAGAGAATGAGGTTTATGACTCGTTTGAAAATATTTTAAAAATGATTAAAAGTACGTTTGATAAGAAAAATTCATTTTTAATTTAAAAAAAATGTCATTTTTTATAAAAACTTTCAATTGTATTTAACATCTCATTTAAATAGACACAAATGTTCTCAATATATGTGCATAGTTGTTGATTAAAAAATTTCAATACTATAATCAAATGTTGCTCTCACCAATATTTTTATCATTTTTTTTATTTTCTTTGTCAATTGAAGACCGTAGGTTTCTCTCAATTTTATATTTTTAATAAATAGACAAAGAAAGGAGTATCAACATCTTACTTGGCCAGATAGCTTGTTCTTATCCAGCTAGGAATTAACATAATATATATATATATATATATAGCAACAAGTGAACTACCAGAATGAACAAATAAAAATAAATTAAATTTTACTTGTCTCAAATTTAAAGGATTAATGTATAACCAAAATAAACAATACAACAATCCAAATAAAAATTTATTCATTACAGTTCAAATTTAAAAGAGTTCAACAAAGTAGGATGAAGTTGAATCGGATTCCCATCAGTTTTTTTATAATGGTCATTTGAACCACACTTTGAACATTTTCGAGTTGATTTTTCTTCTTCACGTGATGGGAATCTTTTTTTTTTTTTTTTTTTCTCCTATCAGGTCTTCTTCGCGTAATTGGTGGGTAGGACAATTCTTTGCACACAAAAGCAATTTGCAAACAAATGATTTGTATGAGAAGTGTATACTGGTCTGCTACATAACTACGAAGGCAATTTGCATAAAAACTACGGAAGCAATTTGGATAAAAACTACATAAGCAATGATGTTAAAGTTACATTAGGCAATTTACATAAAAACTACATTGCATAAACACTTGAGAACAAATAAAAATGTACCCAAATACATACAGACCAATAGCAAAGAACCACAAAACCGCGAAACCACATTTAAGTACTATCCATTTCTCTCCCAGAATCATCGAAACCAAAGAACCAAAAAAAGATACCGACCAAAACATCGAATGAATCAAAAAATAAAAAGAAATCGTAGATGAGGAAAAATGAAAAAACCATCTATAGTTCTATACCATCGTTTAGGGCTACACAACCAACAATGATGCCTTCAATATGTCTCCACTATTTCTTAGGTTTTGACGTCAGAAATTTATCATATAGGGTTTTTATTTTTTTAGTTTATTTGATTTTAAAATTTAGGGTATTTGTGTCTATTTAAGTGAGATTTTGGATATATTTGAAAATATTATAAAAATTGACATTTTTAAAATTAAGAACTAATATTTGGCTATATTTGATAAATACTGGTTTTTGAAACCAATCATTAATAAAAATTCAAGTAAATTATGAAAAGGAACTTGAAATGCTTTTAAAATGACTAAACATTTTTTATATGAGAGTGCTTTTCAAACCAATTATTAGTAAAAATGTAATTAAATCCTTAAAAAAAAAGCACTTGAAATGCTTACAAAATGACTAAACACTTTTGATGGGAATGCTTTTGGAACCAATCCTTAGTGAAATTGCAAGTGAATCCTAAAAAAAATTTGAAGTGCTTCTTGAATTAACTGATGATTCTTGCAGAAAGTGTTTTCAGTCATTTTAAAACCACTTCCAAACGAGTTCTTAATGAGAAGAGAATTTGTGTGTGCAGGAGTCTCTGTAGGGTACCACACTTAATCAAGCCCAAATAGAGTAAGTTGAGTCCTTTGATGAGAGGTAGCATGAATGACGTGACCCAAAACACCACAAGAATTTCTCCTTAACAAAAGAACAAATGCATAATGTAGTATATCCTTCTCTTACTTTTATCCTGTCTATGGGAATATGGAGTTGTGTCTGTCTAAAATGAAGCAATGAAATCTCTAGTCCCTTATCGTGGAGAAAAGTATAGATTTGTCTGTTCGAGGACCACGCAATTCCAACCTAATTCATATTCTCAGGTCTCAACGATCAGTGCTTCAATTTCCATGTTGGGTTCGCGGATAAGGTAGGAGAATGCTCATGTGATGCAATTTCCATGGTAGGTAAGATCAGCGCTCAGATTATGACAAGTTACCAGACCGGTTTATCAAATTTGTGATGGGGAGAATCTCGTACTCTTGGTCACTCTTAGAAAGTTCATGCAACGGGCAATGCAATGGTATCCTAAATGTGGAAACAAGGAAAAACGATACCTTTTCTTTTGTTTTCTTTTTTCTTTTTTCCAATGATTTTAAGTACGAGAATGAAAGTCTTTCATTTGCGTACTTTAGGAATGAGTATGCGAATTTCCTAAGTGAGACAATAAGTAAGGTTGTTAGCTTCTGTTTGCTTTTTCAGGGAGGTCAAACGTCGGGAAATCATCACTACTTAATGCACTTATCAGACAATGGGGAGTTGTACGAACGTCAGACAAGCCTGGTCTTACTCAGGTCATTAAATAGGCTTCGTTGCAATGATTTCATCAGCTATTCAGCTTGTTGACGATGAATGTGCTTCTTCCGCAGACCATTAATTTCTTCAATCTGGGATCAAAGCTCTGCTTGATTGATTTGCCCGGGTGTGGCTTTGCTTATGCTAAGAAGAAGTTAAGGACGCTTGGGTGGAGCTTGTGAGTATACAACTTTATGTTCTCCTTTTCATTTCTAAAGTGGAATTTGGTGAATAAAACTGTATACTTGCGACTGAATCCAAATATCTAAATCGTATATGTGCCAATATAATTGTTTTTTTGGGCGCTTCGAATTTTGTAGGTGAAGGAGTATGTTTCGACAAGAGTTGGTCTAAAGCGAGTGTGTTTACTTACTGGTACAAAATGGGGAATGAAGCCAAGGGATCATGAGCTCATTGACTTGATGGAAAGGTAGACAACTGATTTTATTAAACCAATGTCAGGATTAACTCATCGGTTACACTGATTCTATGTGGTAAAAGATACCACACATTCCTCTATTGTCTTCGATTGGTGTATACGCACATATGTATCAGATTTTATTAACTAATACGGATTCGGTTTACAGAGCTGAAACTAAATATCAGGTTTTATTGACCAAGACGGATACGGTTTTCCCAATTGATGCGGCACGTCGTGCAATGCAAATTGAAGAGGTCATTATGGCTTATTTATACTGGCATTTCACAATATATAAGCAGCATTTTCTCAGTAAGACTATCTTTTTTAATCAATATATCTGATTTTGCATAGTCTGAAAGCAAATAAGTCTTTGGTCCAACCCGTGGCATGGAGTATGCTGTTATCTGATCAGTTGATAATCACAAGCATACTATTTACGCGTATCAGTGTTGAAAATAATGTAATCACTCCAGATTTGGTTCTTATTTCGGGTGATGGTGAGCTCGAAATCTGGAGCTGGTATTCGAAGTTTAAGAACAGCGCTAGCGAAGATTGCCCGTCTTGCCAAAGTCTAATATGCAGCATCAGGTAAATGTAAACTCTTAATCCAGGGTGCATTTAAGCTCTTTTTTCTTAATGTGAACTCATCTATATTGTTATGTACTTCTAGGCTGTGGCGTGCTGCTTGTACTAATGTTTTGGCTTGGAAGCCAAATTTCTCAAACTCGTAGAGTTGCCGGATGCGTTTGACGCAGATTGTTCGCCTATACAGATTGAGCAGGGCGCGCCGAAATGGTTTGGCAATGCCTGTCTCGATTAGCAGGACGACATTGAGTTGACATTTGGCGAGTTACATGAGAATTAGTTTTGTAGATTCTAGTTTATTTCTTACATCTTAAGTTTTTAAATTGAAGGTTACATTTGATTGCAGACATTTTAAGATAGTGAATGGCTTTTATCGGCTGATTGGCGCAAAATGCAGCCATTGCCGAAGTATTCTCAAGTTATTCCCTTAACACTGCTGTATTAGTGGTTTACGCTAGCGTCAGTCGCCGGCCGTGATGGCCGCCATTGATGATCGTGAGTGCCGCGCTATTGTCGGTCATTTAAAAAGGATAGTGGAAAACCAGTACAAATGCAACATGGTGGACTTTCCATTGTATAATTTTATACTTCCTTGGGATATATAGGGAAGAAAAGCCTTTATACTATTGGTTCGACGATCTCAGTCGAAGAAGCACTTATACACGACGGACACACTAGGGACAGAAGACATGGCAAAGCAGCCCAAGAAGCACTTTCCATACATAATTACTTTTCAATTTGTTGGTTTACATTATGCCAAAGCACTTTAGTAAAGCAAGTAAAACAACAAAAAGCAAAACAAAGATAGAATTCTTGAACACGCAGTTGATTTTTATTGCTAGATTCTACAATGTGGGGTAGGTATTTAAGTTGGTGATTAGGGTAGGGAAGGGGAGACTAATCTAACATTAGGACTATTAAATGAGTTATCATGTCAGTATTACAATCTAATGATATTATTTTCGTAAGTAAGAAGTCTTCAGTTAAATTCTTTTATATGACGAGTTTGATTCCAAGGTAGAACTGACTCAATGTGTGATTTAGTCTAAATCACCTATTCCAATGTTGTATAAAAAAACAATCTCTCCCCATCTTCAATCTATAATCGAGCATCTTCAGATCATATGTCCACGTAAGCATTATAACTTCTAGAGTCAACAAAACTCGATAAACTCAACTAAAACCATTAAGTATAATCTATATCACAAATGTTTGGCAGATTGTGATGCAAATGCTAATCTCCATACGTAAGTTCATAAATGGGAAAAAAACTTTGTGCTTCTTGCCTTTGCAATATATTATGACCATATTATTTAATAACTTTTTTTACTACAAACGATAATCCATCACTTGCATATTTTTTCGTAATATAAATAGAAATTATAAACAATGTTTTATAATTTTCATGATGTATAATTTTTTCTAACAAGGGTGTTGTATAAGGCCTATTTTATATATTAATACTACAACTAAAGTATACAAAAGTCGTCCGTCTATATTATCACATGTTCATTAATAATGACAACACAACATGGCATTGTGACTGGTGCACATGAAAAAAAACAAAATTTAAGCCAAAATAAATTCCCACTCAAAGAGACTCAATTCTTTGTATCAAGGAAAAAAAAAAAACCTTCGAATTCTAGATGCAGACTTGCAAATCAATTTAATTTAAAACATCCATTCTTGCACTCGAGATTTCTAGTTCAATTATCCATTCTCAACATTTGATGCAATTTAATTAAAAACATGCATTCATGCACTCGAGACCTCTAATTCAATTACCCTTCATTCTTTCACCCGAGGTCTCTAGCTCGATTACCCGTCCCTCAACATTAAAGTCATGTTCAAGCAATTGGACAACTAATTTGAGACGTGTGTGTGGATGTGTGTTTGGTTAGGCCAAATGCAATTATCGCAATACTTTGAATTAGTTTAAGTCATGACCTCATTTCCATAACCAAAACAGAATAAAATTGACCATTCCCTCTCCCATTGTCATGCTTCAACCGCACTCCCTCCATTTTCATAACCAACACATTTGTCAATCCTCTCTCTCTCCTCCTCTCTTTCTCTCTCCTCTCCTCTCCTCTCTTTCTCTGTGCATGCTTGAGAGATTGAGAAGGAGAAATGTGTCCCCTGCGGCTGATTCTCATATTCCTCTCCGCCACCCTCGCCGGCTTCTTTGTCCTCAGAAACCTCAAATCCGACGGCCCCCAATTGGAAATGCCGCAAGATGAACAAGAAACCCACCAACTGCAAAACCCCAACAAATCTCCCCACCAATTTTCCAAGGTTCCCAATCCATTTTCTCACTTCAATTCCTGCACCATTTCTGCTTTTCTCTTCTGGGTTTCTCTCCGTTTTAACAAATTTCGCTTCTTTTGTGTCCTTTTGCAGGTTCGCTCCGCCTTGGAATCGGGGTTCTGGACCGTCGTGGACATGGCCAGCGGACGCTACCTCTGGAGGCATTTGGCGTCGTCGACGGCGGCGAAGCAGTCGGATTGATGCTATAATTGCTGGGAATCTGACACGAGTCCAGGTTTGAGATTGACTACTAAGAATCTAAGATGTTGTAATTTTGAAAGGACCCAATTGAAAAGAAATCCGAAATGTTGTATGATGTTTGCAAATGGTGTGCTGTAGCTGTAATTACTACCATTCAGCAACAATATCAATCCAATTTGTATTGTAATTTTGCTATTTTACACTATCTGGTTCTGGTTTCTGTATTAACTAATCAAGTGTGGTGTGGAGAAATTTCACCAAGACATAATCCACCTCTATCTCATGCTATTCCCTGTGCTATGTATAAAGCTAAGGCTTGCGAACTTCGGTGGTTTTCATACATTATACTTTACCTTGCTAATGCTATTTATAAAGAGAGCATGTTGTCAGTTATATAAGAAAGTCTCCTACTTTAACCCGTTTGAGTGTTCATTAATCGATTAGCATAGGTACTATTCTTGATGTTAATGAGAAGGCCGAGAAAGGATTTTATGAAATGCTTGTTTAGAACATCAAAGGCTGGGATACACCAATATTCATGCTTATGCTTGCATTCACAAACATAAGGATAAATTGTCTGTTTATGGTGAGGGATTTTCTGTGTTTTCGTGGTTAGGGATAATGGAAATTGTTGTTTGTCATGGCTGCTGGTTTATGGTTAATTGAGTTTGCAATTTGCAGCCCAATATAGAGATTTTTTCTCTTACATGCCCACATGCGAATGTGTAATCTATGCTGCTGAATGCTGCTGTCGTATCCTATGAGCTAATGTTTGTTGACGATGTTAGGGCATTTGGAAGGGGAGTGTTGTGATGCCATTCGTGTTACCGCTATTTGAGATGTGGATTCTTTGTCTATAGTAATGGTAGTTTGTTTTGCTGGCTTTCTATGTGACTATTGAGGCAAGATTCTACATTTCTGGTATTCTGGCTGTGAACTGTTGATGCTCTCTGCTTGTAATGTGTAATTTTTTTTTTCGTCAAACGAATTGGAATATGATGCTTTTGTAGAGTGGTAATTGCTCCTCGTTAATGCTTCTCTCCTTGTATCTTCCCCTGTCTCAAATCTGTTAGCTATTGTTTCCTTAGTTGATGTCTTCTATGTTGAAAACAGTAATGTCTTGACAAGTCAGAAATGAATTTGATGCATTTTAAGAACATGAACCAACTAGCCAAGTGTAAACGACAAACTTAAGGATAATGTTAGACCTAGGGGTGGTATTGGTACGATTACCGTACCAAAATCCATGTACTAATTACTATACCAAACTTTTGATATGACAAAATCTATTACCATATTACCCTGTCAAATTTTTGATATACCGAATTTTGACATGTAAAATAATTCAGTTGGTATGATATAGTAATTGTAAGTGCCACTTTTTTCGGGCCAAATAGTCAGAGTTGAGTAGCCTAGTTTTTGTGCTTAAATTGTGGTAGGTTTTCTGACTTGGTGATTTGGATTTATTGTTTTGTTGTACTTTTGGGTTCATTATTTCTCTTGATTGGCCAACCTTTTGACTACATGTGGGGCTGGTATTGCTAACTGATTGATCAGTTGGTGGGAGAATGTGACATATTCTAATTATCCAGACATCCACAACTTGATTGATTCAACTCCCTCCCTTCAAAAAGTCAGAATAATGCTCGATAGAAATGGAAAAGGATTTTCGTTGGATTCTTTTCGAATACTTTGCGAACAGTTTTCGTTAAGTGTTATTTATATTTAATTTTAAATTTTTAAATGATTTATGACCGTACGATATATGATGAACGATTTCGATCACAGAATCTTTAAAATTTCTAGAAAAATGATACCTTTTCGTTAGAAATCGAGGTAAACTTATATCAAGATAAACTCCACCTGTATCAAAATAAAGTTAATTTCTATTAGGACATTATTATTTGCATACTTATTTTTACTTCTCACATATTTTTGTTGATTTTCTTCACTTCACTAGATCCGACGATCGAAAATTAAGACGCGTGTGTAAGAAGTAAAAATAGTGTGTGAATAACACTACTCTTTCTATTGTTGAGAGGGATTCAAAATCAATGTTATAACATGAGTGAATAGATTATAATACGGGTCAGTCACAATTAAAAAGGTATTTAAATGAAAGAAAATCAGTCAAACCCCTTCCAAAACTAAAGTAAGAGAATTGCAGAGTGAGGGATTTTTCTGGTTCAAAATGAGAGTGAGGTCAATTTATAGTGGACTTGGTGTTGTAACTCGTACCGCTTCTTGAAGATTTTTTATGGAGTTTTATGGTATAAGATACTTTGGTAATTTTAACGGTTAAAATTTAATTTAAAAATATAAAAATTAAGATCTAATGGTTAAACAATTACACTGGATTTATAGAAGTTTTACTCATCAAATACGTAAAAAATATAAACGGCAAAAACTAAGAGCTTCGATAGCCAAAAATGAAAAAGTATGTAAAAATCAGTCTATTCTTTTTGGGTCCCGTTCTTTTCTTCTAATCCATTAAATTAGGAGATTTTTATTATTAAAATTTGATCTAACGGTTGAAGTTATTATAACTTGTAGGCTCCTTTTTATGACAGTTGAATCAAATTTCAATGATACAGATTTTCTAATTTGATGAATTAAGAATAAAGAATCCGGAGTAGATTAGAAAGAAGGGACCTTGGAGAGGATCCCTTTCGCTTGGTTTCGCTTTCAGCACCACCGACAGATCACGACCGTCGAATGGCGTGGTTTTCAAACAGTCAATAAGGATAAAATATTCCAACGGTCGAATCGTATTCATTCCAATTTCAGTATACCTCTCTGTGTCTGCTTGTGTTCGCAGAGACGAGAGAGAGATGAGGCAGAAGAAAAAGGCAGGATCAGAAATCCCAGAAACCCTAACAGCGATGCCAGAGGAAGAAGAAGAAGGAGATGGTCGATTCTTTGCTTGCTATCTGTTGACCTCTCGCAGCCCTCGCTACAAGGGCCACACTTATATTGGGTAATTTCCCAATTTCCTTAGTTACTTTTATTAATTTTTAATCTCCAATCAGTTCAGAATAATCAGATCATTCTTGATTCAATCATTTTTCCATCTGAATTTCTTTAAATTTTGGAACTTTCTTTTAGAACTGCGATCAATAATTCTGCCCAATTTCACTGTTTGTTCATTTGGCACTATCTGATTTGAATTTATTTGAAATTTGAGACTTTATGTTGCTTTCTTTTATAAATTGGATTAGCAAGTGTCCCCAGTTTGACTGTTTGTTTATCTGGGTGATGCTGAATACAGGTTCACAGTGAATCCGCGGCGGCGAATAAGGCAGCACAACGGAGAAATATCGCAAGGAGCCTGGAGAACGAAGCGAAAACGGCCTTGGGAGATGGTCTTGTGCATCTATGGTTTCCCAACAAACGTTTCTGCTCTCCAGGTCTCTACATTTTTGTCTTTATTTCCTTCCAAATATAGTTAATTTATCAATTATGATTGATTAGGATCAACTTAGATGCAAATTTCTTGAGAATTATATCTTAATTATGTGTCAATTGTGGATATTTCCGATTTGATTGGGACCTACATTGAGTTTGTACTAATTTAGCATCCATTTGGTTCTATTTTTTTTAATTTATTTTATTTATTTGTTGGATTCAAATTTATATGAAGATTTATTAATTGGAATTTGGGAACTTTCAAACTCCAATTTCTTGAGAATTATGTCGTTTTTCTGTTTCATTTGAGGATATCTCCAGTTTTATTGGAACCCGCATTGGGTTGGAACCAATTTTCAAATCAGTTATGTATTAATATTTGGTTGGGATCATGTTAGCTTGGGGATTTCCGATTTATATCGACTGGATTTGGAAATTGCAGTTTGAATGGGCCTGGCAGAATCCAACCGTATCAAAGGCAGTTAGGCAGGCTGCTGCAAGCTTTAAAACCCTTGGAGGACTTGTCAGCAAGATCAAGCTTGCATACACAATGCTTACTCTTCCGCCATGGAACAGGTATCGTTTTATTTGTTAATGCGTGAATTGTGAGTGAATGAGCACACATGCTTTTTTTATAGTACTAATGGGATGTGAAATTTTGTTTGTTTGGATCATCAGCTTGAACCTCACTGTGAACTTCTTTTCGAGCCAGTACACCAAGCATTCTGCTGGCTGTCCACGCCTGCCGGAGCAGGTGAAGGTCAAAGTTTGCTCCATGGATGATCTTCCTTCCTCAACCAAACTATCTGATGACATTTTTGAAAATGAAGATGATTGGTGCAATGAAAGGGAATGTGATCAAGATATGTGTACCAATAGTTCGCCACAGGAAAACACATTATTGGACGTCATGGTTCATAATTCAGCAGGCGATCAGCATAATGATATCGGCAATAAAGTAGGAAGCTATGAGCACTACAATGAAAAAGAATATGATGAATTCTTGTATGACGGCACTCTAGAGCAAGAGCCATTGTCAGATTTTATAGTTCATAGTTCAGAAGATGATCAGAAGGATGATACAGAAAAGACAATTAACAAAGTATATGGAGACAGTCAGCAAGTAAAGGAAGATTGCACAGAGCAATTTGGTTTTATCACATCACCGGTGAGAATGCCATCTTCAAAGCGGCTACCACATCTTCTGATGACAGTAGTGTTGAACTGAGGCATCCTGCAAGGGAACAATTGACAATTACAGTTGCAGACAATGATCAGTCACCGGGTGAAAGCTATCTCAGGCCTTGTGGAGCCGAGGTAATAGATTTGACTACTCCAGCTCCTCAATGTAGAAGCGGTTTATGCAGCGGGAAGAGTAGAGTTGTCACCACTTATCCTCAGATTATTGACTTGACTATGTCTCCAAATTTCATCCAATTATAGTGCTTGACGATCTTGTGGATTTGGTTGAATAATTTAGAGGAACTATTGTCATCTTTACCTGATGGCATATTGTTGTAACACTTCAGTTCTTACAGTTTTAACTGGAATAAAAATCTTCTTTTTACCCACTTGCTACTTTTATTGCTTTTCTTTGATGGCTTGATGAAGATTGTATTTATTCCCCTGCTTTTCACATTTTATCTTTACAAACTGGTTTGGACTACCTTGCATATCAAGGAAGGTTTTCTTTCTTCCTCAAAAGCCTGCTGATGCTTAAACATTTCGAGTTAATCCAGCTTTGTGCTCGAAAAGTTTACGCTTGTTTCTGCAATGCGATTAATTAAGTTGATTTTCAGTTAGACTGTCGACGAGAACTTGCTCTTTTCGTGCAAATTAAAAGGAAACAGTAAACATATAAAACAGAGTAAATATTTGATCAAATTAGCTAATTGAAGAGTAAACTACTATAGTGGAAAGACAAAGTACTTTGATATGGTGCAGATAAATTTTTTGCACCAATGTTGTAAGAAACACTAACTAAACCTGTTCACTAAATCCGATAAAAATTCCGGTACCAAATCTTCGGTACCAACTAAGGCCGATCGCTTCTACAATCCTTAAACATTAAGGTGCTCATCCATAAAAGTGCTTGACCAGAAGTTGTCGCCGTCTAATGACTGCAGTTGGAGACGATCCCAGCAATCATCCATACTTGGATGCAACACTTCTTTGAGTTCAGCATATAATTCCTCAACTCTTCATCACCAGCGACCTCAGAAGCAGTTGGCATAAGCACTTCCTCGGGTTCAGAAAGTAAAAATTGCTTTAAGGCAAAAGCTGTTGGGGAAAGCACTTCCTCTGCTACTGCTCCATCGGTCGGCGCTCTATCTACTATTTCGTTTGATTCGGCAACCGTGATGGTCAATCTCGGATCATTACTTGTTAGACAAGAATTGCCTTGTCCTTCTTCCTCCTCAACAACATCGATCAGATTTATGTTTTGTTTTGATCCTGCTTCTTGATCATCATCACTTTTGATCTCTTCGTTTGCACGCTGCTTCTTCTTCCTCTTGTTTGAAGTGGTCACTTGATCCTCGAATGATGGTGAAGTCGGACACTTTCTCTTGTTAATGCCGTTCTTCGTTGAAGCGGTCACTTGATCATCCTCTGATGATGATGAACTCGGGCACGTCTTCCTCAACCGGCAAAGCACGTAATCAAAATCGTAACTTGTATGGCTCTTGCGCTTCCTTGGAGCCGCAAAGAGACTGTATTCATCTAGTAACCACGCGCCATGGTCCTCTGAGCCTACATTCTTGTAGGAGAAGGTTCTTTTTAGTCCAATACAGGTAGAAGTTCCGTCAGTCCCCTCAACCCATGCGGGGACTGCCTTGCCGTCCCAGTTACCTCCGCTTCTTCCCATCTTTCGCATGATGTTCGAACCCTTGGGGTTTTTCTTCGTGAGCTCAGAGAAGAAGTACAAGGCGGGTTGATCAGCAGCAGCAAGTTGAAGTGCTCCTCCTCCTCCGAAGGCCTCCCAAATCTCAGAGGGTTCTGAGTGGTTGCCGAAGAGGTTGCACTTGTGCATGAAGGTGTGGTGCGGTGGCGGGGGCAGTAGCCGCCGCGTCTCCACCAAAAAGTAGCGAAGGAAGCGACCGATGAGTTCTTGATCGGTGGGTTTGAAGCGGAAACCGGTTGGGACAAGGGAATGATTGATCTCCATTAACACCACACGAGAAGATGAAGTGCAGTACTGGAATAGTTAACTAGGTTCTGTGCGGTGTTGTTGATGGGACAGACAATTAGAGATGGCGCGGTTTGGTTTGGTATTTATAAAGGGATTCAATACAATTTCCTCAAGCAATTAGGATTGATCACAGCTACAGCTACAATTACAACTACGGGTGGAAAGGGGGGGGGGGGGGGGGGGGGAGGAGAGAGTTGCTTGGAGGGTAAGTAAGAAATTAGAAACCCTAACTCTAGGACGTCCTGATTGTATTAGTAAATAGAGAAAATCCCAATTTTAGTAGGACTCTCTTCACATTTATGTCAAAGTTTCATAGCCGTTGTCATTTTAATAAACCACGTGTTTAATTTGTTAAATTCAAGTTTTTGTTCTTTTTTACCCTTATTTTTGGTCGGTTAAAAAAATTGGATTTTGTAAAAAAAAATGCAGACACTAATAAACTGGAAAAAAGGGAAAATTAAAGAAACCAATGATCCATGGAATTTTGTTTGGATAAAAACAAGAGGAGTAATTCAAGAATTTCAAGTTTTGGTATTTACCCAAACCAAAATTGAACTTGGTTTTTTTTTTTTTTTTTTAAAAGAGGACAACTAGTGGCAAGTCACGGTTATCGTCAAAAAACTCAGGCACTTCGTTTTTTTTTTTTTTTAACTTGGCTTCTCGCCACTCCAATTTCTCCAGTGGTTGTTCAGCAGCGCCGCGCCATACAAGGATGAGGACGGACCTGGAAGTTGGAAAGACGGGGCCGGGTCAGTGCTGTGGTATTAATTTAATTTGTGTACGTGATTTGGATTGTGTTGGGTTTTGTTTGTTTTGCATCTCCAGCAGTCCAGATTATGAAGCAAGAGCCATGAATTGGAAGAATACTGCAAATAACTTAGATGTCTTGTACTTGGTATGCATTCTATTATATTTTTATTCCCTTTTACATGTAGTTCAAGGAGATGAATGTCATAGTTACCGCACTGTCGTGTTTGGAAAGCGCGGTAGGTACATTCGTTTTCTCTTCAGGAATTGAGCATCCATTAAACTTAAGACCCCATAAAGTTTTTTAGCCCATGCTATCATCCTTGATTGAACGTTTTCAATCCAATCTTGTTTTAACTTTGAGACTTTCTTTTGCTTTCTTTCAGAACTTGGATTAGTAAGTGAGCCCAATTTGACTGTTCGTTTCTTTGAGTGGTGTTGATGCAGATTCTATGTGAATCCTCGGCGTTCAGTTAAATAGCACAATGGAAAATAGCAAGTAGCTTGGAAAACAAAGCGAAAGAGGAAGAGCGATACAATGAAAAACAAGAAACATTATCGGATTTATTGTTAATGGTTTGACAGATGATAAGCAGGGTGATGCTGGCAAGGTGATCAACAAAGTATATGGTTGCAGTCATAGAGTAAGACAGAATTGTACACAGAAATTTGGTTTTCTCACATCGCTGGTGAATTGCGTCTTCGAACCTGCTGCCTCATTTGATACAGAAGTAACTAAAAATTTAGGCTTGTGTGGATCTTCTAATGTCAGTATGGTTGAATTGTGGCAACCTGCAAGGCAACAATTGACAACTAGAGTTGTGAATGATGAACAATCACCTGGAAGAAGCCACCTTGGGCCTTATACAGCTGAGGTAATAGGCTTGACGATTCCAGCTCCCCCGTGCAGAAGCGATTTATGCGGCTAGAAGAGCAGCGTTACTAGTGCTTACTGTTGGATTATTGACTTGACTGTGTCTCCCAGTTTCATCCAATTGTAGTATGTTCTATGTTGGACATGTCTGGTGATCTTATTGTAATTTGCAAGCAAACGAGTGTGAGCAATCTTTGTTCAAATTTTACAGTTTTTACTGAATCAAAAATCCTTTTTGCCCCACTTGCTTAATTTTATTACCCTGCTTTGATGGCTTGTCTACATTTACTGCACACTGGCTTAAGGTGCCTTGCATCTCAAGTTAGTTTTACTTTCTTTCTCCCAAAACCCGCTTATGCTTTATGCTTAATCGTTAAATCACGTGGTAATTAATTAAGGGCACGGGTTGTGAAGGGCAGTCTGGAGATCCAAATGTTTAAGCTTTGTGTTCGATGATGATTAATTAAAGACAAGAAAATATTTATTTTGTGTAAATTAAAAAGAAAATCCATTATTTGACATCAAATTAACAAATCTAAGAGTACATTGACTGGAAAATCAGACTCAGATCATTGATAACTTTATATATATGATCACCGGGAACAAAACGGACTAAAGCCGATCAAATTTGTATATAGATGTTCAAAACTAAGTTGTACTGGCAGTGGAAAATTAGACAGAACTATTACAATATCTCTTGTGCAATGTTAATGGGTGGCATGAACTGATCTTCCAAACAAGCATTATTCGGGTAGCTGCTGCCGTAATATGATTGGTCGAGGACATTCTCGTAGGCATTTGGATGATAAGCTTCTTGTACTCCTCCATCTGCACCGATCCATTCCTTGTAGAAACTTGGATTCAAAGGCTCCTCTTCATGGGTTTCAAGCAAATATTTCTCTAATAAACTTGGATCCCAAACATTCTCTTCTACTGCTCCATCTGCAGCAATTCCAGAATCTGCTGGCAGTAGCAATTCTTGATCATTATCACCTTCGATCTCTTCGTTTGCGCTCTTCTTCTTCGTCCTCTTGTTCGAAGTGGTCACTTGATCCTCTGATGATGATGAAGTCGGACACTTTCTCTTGTTAATGCTGTTCTTCGTGGAAGCGGTCACTTGATCATCCTCTGATGATGATGTTCTCGGGCACTTTCTGTTGTTATTGTCGGACGTCTTCCTTAACCGACAAAGCACATAATCAAAATCGTAACTTGTATGGCTCTTGCGATTCCTTGGAGCCGCAAAGAGACTGTATTCGTCTAGTAACCACGCGCCATGGTCCTCTGAGCATACATTCTTGTAGCAGAAGGTTCTTTTTAGTCCAATGCAGGTAGAAGTTCCGTCAGTTCCCTCAACTCATGCAGGGACTGCCTTGCCGTCCCATTTACCTCCGTTTCTTCCCATCTTCCGAACGATGTTCGAACCATTGGGGGTTTTCTTCGTGAGCTCAGAGAAGAAATACAAGGCGGGTTGGTCAGGAGCAGCGAGTTGAAGTGCTCCTCCTCCTCCAAAGGCCTCCCAAATCTCAGAGGGTTCTGAGTGGTTGCCGAAGAGGTTGCACTTGTGCATGAAGGTGTGGTGTGGTGGCGGGGGCAGTAGCTGCGGCGTCTCCACCAAAAAGTAGCGGAGGAAGCGACCGATGAGTTCTTGATCGGTGGGTTTGAAGCGGAAACAACTCGGTACAAGGGAATGATTGATCTCCATTAACAATACACGAGAAGATGAAGTGCAGTAGCCGATAGAGTGGTGAACTAGTGCGTTGTTGTTGATGGGACAGACAAAAGCAAGAGAGCAAATAGTGAGTGGTATTATTTATAGATATAGAGAGGGGGAGTGCCAATGGGGCGGTGAGGGTATTGGTTTAGGGTTAATTAGTTGCTTGGAGGGTAAGTAAGAAATAGAAACCCTAAATTAGCCTGACCTATTTGTATTAGGAAATAGAGAAATCTCACTTTTAGTAGGACTCCTACTCTCTTCATTTATGTTAAGTTTCATAGCGGTTGATCATTTTAACCATCTTAATTAGGAAACAATTAAAACCAAATTTTTCTATGCTATTATTATTTTTTAATTCCAAAAAAATTGAAAAAAAAAAATGCAGACACTCGCTAAATTGGAAAAAAAAAAAAGGAAAAGAAAAATTAATTTAATATTAGTCCACTTTTATACCCTAGTATTAGGATTAGCACACTTTTTAGTTATTTTATAATTAGGTCCAATGATTGTAATTCCACAACATTGTCGTTCCTATTTTTTTGGATCATTTTTTATCATCCCAATGTTACCCGTGATCTTAGCATTACTGATAATAATCCTTAATATTAGTCCACTTTTACACCCTAGTATCAGGATAAGTTTATGATAATCCTTAATTTCATGAAAGACTAAAAGATAATTCTCCTGCAAGTGGCCTTTTACCATAGTAGTGAAAATGTGTTGTGCTTTTGCATGATGGAATGAATTTGAACCCTGTCGGTGACTAATCTAACATTTAACTTACTAACGCTATCGTTTCACTAAAAAAAAAAAAAAAGAAGATAATTCTCCTAAATGTTAGCTTATTAAACCATATGCACGTTCGTCTTCTCCACTTTCTTTAATCCGTTTTCCTCCTCTTCTTTAGGTCCATGTCCATTATTTGGAGTACCTGAATAATAGATACTCACTAGTACAAAAAAACACTTTGCGCAACGCAGGTCCTTCGTCGCGCAAAGTCAAAAAACGTCGCGCACAAACCGTCACGGCAAGGCAGTGATAGAAGGCTTTGCGCGACGCAAGTAACCCCATCGTCGCGCAAAGACACTTTGCGCGACGTATTTTGCGCGACTCAACATCCGTCGCGCAAGTTTCTTTGCACGACGCATGTAAAGGCTTCGTCGCGCAAAGTGTCTTTGCGCGACGTATTTTGTGCGACTCAACCTACGTCACCCAAGATCCTTGCGCGACGTATTTTGCGCGACTCAACCTACGTCACTCAGGATCTTGCGCGACGTATTTTGCGCGACCCAACCTACGTCACTTAAGATCCTTGCGCGACGTAGACTATAGTCGCTCAAAGTGTCTTTGCGCAACGCATGTTCCCAAGTTGCGCAAAGATACTTTGCGCGACGCAGTCTACGTCACGCAAAGATACTTTGCGCAACTTGGGAACATGCTTTGCACGACGTATTGTATGTCGCGCAAAGTGGAAATTTGGTTTTGGTAAAAAATATTACTTTCTTAATTTTTAATAATATTGTAATTAAATTCTAAATAATAATTAATTAACCAAAGAAAAGTATTTAATTATACAATATATGAAAATGTACATACAAGATGTCCAAATAAAAAAGAAAAAACTACAAGTAATCTTGT